TCTACACCTCCCTTCCCGCTGCCCTGATCCGTGACCTCACCATCTCCACCACTGTCGTTGGGAAGCTGAAAGCGGTGATGAACAGCGACCACCTGCCCGTTCGTTCTACTATCACAAGGTACTCTCCCGACCCCAGGAGCCCCTGCATCCCCGCATGGCTTGCCGAGACCCCTGAGTTCGGACAGGCCCTTGAGGAGGTGATTTCTACCATCCCCGCCGCCTGGGGCGAGTGGACCCGTCTGGAGTTTGCCAAGTCTATGATGTTTGAAGCTGGCCGATCGGCCCGTCTTGCTCTGCGGCGTCGGCTTGCCCGCACGAGACAGGAGATGCACTATTGGGCTCTCTCAGCGATGCGTGCGGTGATACGTGGTGACCAAGAGGGGACTCGACTCGCTCTCGAATGTTATCCTCGGCTTCGGACCCACTTCGATGAGCTCGATCGGTGCATTCACTTCGAGGGGCTATCGCAGCATATCTTCTGCATATACAGGCAAATTCTGGAGGAGGAGGAAGGCGATCTTAGGAGGAGCTCAGCGGATGCATCGGTGAAAAGGTCGGCGATGGCTCGGTTGCGACGGCGGCGGCTCCTCTGGCAAAAGTTTCGGAAGCGGACGGTCCTGGGGAATATCATCTCGGTGGGCGGAGTCCACGCGTCGTCCGACTCGGAGGCCGCCGTTATTCTCGGGGCCTTCTGGGAGCAGCAGTTTGCCGCCCCCACCGTCGATCGCTCCCAGTGGAATTCGATTGCCACCCATATTCGCACCGTGCAGGCCCCGCTTTCGGTCGACTGCTGCCTTCCCTATGCTGTATGGTTTGAGATGGTTCGGACCCGTGGGCACAGCACCCCTGGTCCTGATGGACTACCGTATGCCGTGTGGAAGCAACCGTGTGCGGCTCGTATTCTGTACTCGTGCTACCTCACCCTCTTCGATGACCGCATCTCCTCTCTCCCGACTGACATGCTCTGCAGCTTGCTTGTATTTCTTCCTAAAGGTGCCCTACAGGATGACTGCCCAGGCCACCCGCTGCACCGACAGGCGGCTGCCACCACACCCATCTGCCTGGGCAACACGGATGTTAAGATCCTAGCCGCCGTTTGCGTCATGCCCATTGCTGCGAACTCTGCTAGCCTGATAGGGGAGGAACAGAAGTGCGTCAGCGGGAGGGACATGATTGAGAACGTGGTGAGGGCGGAGGCTTGGGGGGGGGTGGAGAAATACATGACGGCATCGGCTGACGCGGCTTTACTGTTGACTGACTTCGCGTCAGCGTTTCCTAGCCTGGCGCAGGAGTGGCTTTTCTTCGTGCTTGAGGCCATGGGCATTCCTTCCCCGCTCGTCCACTTCTTCCGGATGATGTACTCCGATAACACCGCTATCCTCTCACTTCGTGGTCGTCGTCATGGGCTTATTCGTATCGCGTCTGGGGTCAACCAAGGCTGCCCCGCCTCCATGTTCCTCTTCGTTCTCGCCGTGAATCCTCTGTTGGCATGGATTAGGGCGTCCCTCGGCTCAGCGCTGGGTCTGACTCTTGCATATGCCGATGACTTCGGTTTTGGAGTTGAGCGAATCTCCTCATCACTCAAAGCGCTTCTTGACAGCTTGGAAGCACTGGCGGCGGTTGCCAACCTTCGGCTGAACTTTCGGAAGTGCCAGGTGGTCGTCTGCGGGACTATGGACACATCACCCATCCGCTCCCTCCTCCGCTCTTTTGGCGCGCCCTACAACCTCATTCAGGTCTCCCTCTCCGCCACCTACCTTGGCTTCCCGATCGGCCCCGAGGGCGCCGCGCAGGTATGGCCCCCCATCCTCCCCAGCTTTGTTGCGAGGATTCTCCAGACGCGTGCATTAGGATTGGGTATTGCTCAGTCCGCGGCTGCCTTTCAGGTCATGTGTGTTAGCAAGCTCCTGTTCAGGCTCCAGCTCTACCCGCCCTCCCAGGAGCTGGTGTCCGCCTACCGCAACGGAGTGCTCCTCCTCACCTCGGGGCCCAGGAACGCCATCTCCTACAACGTCGCCACGAAACTTACCCGCATCGGATTCGCCACTGAATTCCTGGAGCTCGACGCGGTCGCGAAAGCCACTGCCCTTCGGTATCTCTTGAGATCTGGGTGGATCTTTGGGCTTCTGGATTCGCTGGGGGCCTCTCGTTCAGACGTCGAACACATCCCGTATATGTGGCTTCGTGGGTGGCATGCTGAAGGCCTCTTGGGATATTTTGGGTCGGTCAAAATGTGGTATTGCGGGCTCTCGCTTGACATCCCTTCCTCTTCGAGCAAGTTACAACATCGACTCTACCGGGCGTTTCGAGAGCTTTGAGACCAGTGAGAGTATCGAGTCCATCCTCCTTCGGCGCGCCCACCACTTTTGCCCTGGGGTCACCCGTGAGCATATCGTCATCCTGAAAGAGAACATAAAAATAGTGTGCAAAACAACGAGTATGTATGTTGGCATGGCTCCCTTTCGTTTGCTGACTGGATCTATCTGCGCGAGCTCCCGATTTCACTCAGCCCCAAGAGGGCGTCTATTCGGGTGCCAGACCGTCGACGGAGTTGACAACGATTCGCTTCGCCACTATTCTTCTTGTCCGAAGCTGGAATCACTTCTCAGGAGATGGATGGGGAGACATATTCGAGTCTATCAAGGTGAGCACTCATTCCATTGGTTTCCCTCTTGCCTCCTCCTCGCATTTGACGATGTTGCTGGTCTCCTCCGTCGAGCTTCCTGCATGGAAGCCTTTCTTGCGGCCCTGAACGCCCGTCGAGTTGGGCGCTCTGCCGCTGCTGAACAGGTGTTTGAAGCCCGTCTGCGTGTGCTGGCCCGCCGCCGCCCAGCGCTCGCAGACGTTTGGTGTGATGCAAGTGTTTGGGTCACTCGCCGTCTGGCGAGGGAGGGGGGCCCGAGAAGGCGAGCGCTGCCGCCGCGGGTGCACGGCACCCCGCGCGGCAGGTGGGAGCTCCCCTCGGATGGTCAACCCCCCCCTTGCCGCGGCGGAGCGCGGACTGCTCGACCAAGGAGTGTCGACCGCCTTGCGCGGGGGCTCCAAGAGCCCTGAGAGCCCCCCCCGACTAAAATCATCATCATCATCATCATCCTCATCATTGCAATTATGAATGCCATCAGCTTTGGAACACCCCTCACACTTTTCGTTGCCCCATAGGGAGCTCTACCGATGGCCCCAGTGGCTGCGTTCGCATGCGCTCACCGCGCCCTTTTCGGTACACCCGTCACACGCTTCGTGGCCCCATAGGCAGTTCCACCGACGGCCCCTGTGACTGCGTTCGCATGCGGCGACCGCACCCATTGTGGCACACCCCTCAAACATTTCGTGGCCCCATGGGGGGGCTCCACCGAAGGTCCCAGTGGCTGCGTTCGCATGCGCCCACCGCGCCCAGTTTGGCACACCCCCCACGCGTTTCGTGGCCCCATGGGGAGTTCCACCGACGGCCCCAGTGGCTGTGTTCGAATGCGCCCACCGCACTCCTTTCGGCACACCCCTCACACGCTTCGTGCCCCCGTGTGCCCCATAGGGGGCTCCACCGGCGGCCCCAGTGGTTGCGATTGCATGCGCCCATCGCGCCCATTTTGGTACACCCTTCACACGCTCTTCGTGGCCCAATAAGGAGCTCCGTCGACGGTCCCAGTTGCTGCGTTCGCATGCGCCCACCGCACCTATTTCGGCACACCCCGCACACGTTTCGTGGCCCTACAGGGAGAACCACCGACGGCCCCAGTGGCTGCGTTCGCATGCGCCCACGGCACCCTTTTTGGTACACCCGTCACACGCTTTTCGTCGTCCAGTAGGGAGCTCCCTCGACGGCCCCAGTGGCTGGTTTCGTGGCCTCCATCGACGGCCCCAGTGGTTGCGATTGCATGCGCCCACTGCACCCTTTTTGGTACACCCTCACGCGTTTCGTGGCCCTACAGGGAGAACCATCCAGTGGCTGCGTTCGCATGCGCCCACCGCCCCCACTTTGGCATATCTCTCACACGCTTCGTGGCCCCATAGGGAGCTCCACCGACGGCCCCAGTGGTTGCGTTCGCATGCGCCCACCGCGTTCATTTCGGCACACCCCTCGCACGTTGTGTGGCCCCATGGGGAGTTTCACCGACGGCCCCAGTGGCTGCGTTCGCATGCGCTCACGCACCCATTGTGGCACCCCCCTCACACGTTTCGTGGCCTCATGGGTAGTTCCACCGAGGGCCCCAGTGGCTGCGTTCGCATGCGCCCACCGCGCCCATTTCGGCACATCACTCACACGCTTCGTGGCCCAATAGGGAGCTCCATCGACGGCAACAGTGGCTGCGTTCATGAACCCACCGCACCTATTTTGGCACACCTCGCACGTTGTGTGGCCCCATGGGGAGCTCCACCGACGGCCCGAGTGGCTGCGTTCGCATGCGCCCACCGCACCCATTTTGGCACACCCCTCACGTTTCGGTGCCCGCAGGCATGTTGTGATGTTGCTCGCAGGCGTGCTGCGGCGCTCGCGTGCTCACCTCGCCCCAGCGTTGCAGTTACCTGCCCCCCTCCTCCTCCTCTTCTTCCTCCTCCTCCTCCTCCTCCTCCTCCTCCTCCTCCTCCTCCTCCTCCTCCTCCTCCTCCTCCCCTCGGGACGGCGTGCCCCATCGAGGAGCCGCGGCGGCCGCGGTGCCAGCCACGGTGTGTGCCAAAGCCCAGCCTCGTCTCCAGATGGGCTCTGGGGCCCCCCGCCGGAGCACCCAGGCGTCCGAGGTCCCGACCTTTTCTCGGCGTGGTTCCCTGGAGGTCTGGACTTTTCCCTTGGACCGGTCGCTTCACCCCGAGTCGTCGTCGTCTTTTGACGGTCTCGCGGCCGGGTGAGGGCCCCGAGAGGCCGACCTTTACGAGAAACTTCCGTCCCGTTTTTTCGAGACGCCGGATGTCTGGGTCCCGTCGGCCACGCCACGGCACGTCCGCAGCCGCTCCGTGCTCCAAAAGGCGCTCGAGATCACCCCGGAAGGGCGCCCCTGTGCGCCACGATGCCGGCGTGCGCCGAGGGCGGTTGGCGGGCGGGCGACCCCCGCGCCATGGCCGCGAGGAGCAAGGGTTGGAGCTGGCTGGGGGTCTGAGGCGGCCCAGCACTGCTTCCGGCAAGCAGGAGGGGGGGGGGGGGCGAGTTCCAGGCTCTGGGTCCGAGGAGTTTTTGTGTTTGGGGGGGGTCTCCGGGTGAGAGGTTTCCCAGCCGAAAACGGATCCGCATCGAGAACCTGCACCAGGTGGACCCCCATGGGGGGTCCAGGGACCGATTTTGAGCCGACTTTGCTCCATCGCCCCCTCTTCTCTGATGTCCTCGGGGCCCCACCGGCTCAGACCCCCTGGCTGCTTCCAGCGCGAGGGGCAACGGTATATCGGGGACGGGCAGGCGACACCACCAGCACCTGCACCTGCACCACCACCACCACCACCACCACCACCACCACCACCACCACCACCACCACAACCAGCAGCAGCAGCAGCAGCAGCAGCAGCAGCAGCAGCAGCAGTCACCACCAGCACCACCAGCACCACCAGCACCACCAGCACCACCAGCACCACCACCACCGCCACCACCACCAGTCCACGATGCCACCCCGAGCTGGGTGTAGGGAATGTCTCGAGCGAGATGGGGGGACCACACCACCATGGTTCCCCCCCTTGTGGTGGTGGTGGTGGTGTTCTGTGGTGGTGTCGCTCTTCGTCGTTCCTAACGACCGGCTGAGGGGAGGGCCGAGGTTCGAGATTCGAGGTTTAAGGTTTCTGTTGTTTCGCTGATTCTCGGCGGCTGTCAAGCCTGGGGATGCCTTCCAGCGGCTGCGCCTCGCCGAGAGCGTTCCAGGGCTGTCCGGATAAGTCCCGAACGGCCGCCAGAGGCCCGAGGTGTGACACGAAAACCACCAGGGGACGTGCGCAGGGGGGGAGACATTGATTTGGAGTCGGCGATGTATCTCCGACAGATCGGCGACAGGCCCTCGATAGTTAGCGAAGCCGCCCATCCTAGGTGGGGTCGGGCTACCGGGCCTCCCCGTCGGTGAGGAGTGGACGATGGGGTGTCGATGCGTTCCCCCCCCGAGCGGATGGCAGGCTTGTGTCGTGGTCGGCGCAGCGGCGGCCCCGGCGCGAGAACTGCAGGCCGACCTCCGCAAGCGGCTCGGAATCTTAGGATCGAGCGATTTCGCGCGGTGCCGGAGGCCGGGGCCGAGGCCTTCGCGAGGCGAGCCTTCCACATTTCCCTCTTTGACGTTGCCCCTCGAGGAGCCCCGAGGGCGGCTGGCGGCCGGACCCAGCCAAGGTTCGAACAATCATGATCATACAACTAGTACTTTAAGTAACATCAGTAACACTATCAGTTAAAGAGAACAACATTCACCTGGGAATGATCGAAATCATACAATCACCAAGCCAGTAATAGCAAGACCAGCACTAAAACTGATACGAATAATATTAGTACTTGCAACAGCATTAAACATGATAGTAGCATGATACCGGATAACAAACCCATTCATAATCTTTTTTTGGCTATAGGTCTATAGGGCTGTAGGGCTATAGGGCTATAGGTATTAGAGGTATAGGGATATGGCTATAGGGCTATAGGACCATAGGACTATAAGGCTACAAGGCGATAGGGCTATAGGGCTATAAGGGCTATAGGGCTATAGGGCTACAGGGCGATTGGGCTATTAGGGCTATAGGGCTATTGGGCTATGTGGCAATAGGCCTATTAGGGCTATAGGGCTATATGGCTATCAGGGCTATTAGGGCTATAGGGCTGTAGGGCTATTGGGCTATATGGCTACATGGCTATAGGGCTATCAGGGCTATGAGGGCTATTAGGGCTATAGGGCCACAGGGCTTATAGGGCTATTAGGGCTATAAGGACATAGGGGTATAGGGCTATCAGGGCTATAGGGCTATAGGGCCATAGGGCTATAGGGCTATAAAGGCTATAAGGCTATAGGGTATAGGGCTATAGGGCTACCAGGCACCCGGGCACCCGGGCACCTGGGCCCCCGGACCCCCTGGCCCCGGGGCCCCCGGGCCCCCGGGCACCCGGGCACTTGGACACCCGGGCACACGGGCACCCGCGCACCCAGGCGTGCCGCCGAAATCGTCGCCAAACCTCACCTAGCTATATGAATCTGCTAGGACCTCTACAGAGGCAAGCTCTGATTGGCACTGATTGGGGATCTAATCTTACTATGTCTACTAGTACTTTCACTCATATTACGGATGCGAATGCTACGAATAATCTGAAGAAAAAACTGCATATTGGCAGATTAAGATGAATAACATCAGGAAGAAGACGAATTATAATCAGCATACTCACGCATCTACCAATAATCATTAGAAGAAATAAGGTCATTCGCTGCGCTCCACTCGCCTGTTTTCTCGCGCCGCCTACGCATATCGCTGACCAGACACACCCCGAAGTTTACCCCGAAACCCAACGTGAGGCCGATGCTAGACACCATGCAAGTACATGAAGAAGAACTTGATCATCAGAAACACATGCCTAAGAGTACGAATATCTCCCACTTGGACATTACGAGGCACATTGCTGGTTATCAGCCGAAATACTCGCCACGAGTTTTCGTGACTGCGTCACAGGCTTCGAGGGCAAATGGGGCCAAAAAAGTGCGGGATCAAGGCGAACCCAGAAGGTGGTCCTCGTGACGGTGCCCCGTGATTGTGTCAGCGATGCCGCTGTGGCTCCTGCGCAAAATCTCAGCAAGTTGGGAACAGCTCAGCACGTAGGCTCGCCATCGTGCCAGAGCGCCGGTCGCCAGGGCATCCCGCGAGCGGACGGATTTATGTTACAGACAGACAGAGTGGTGCGGCAGCTGGGGCTCTGCGGTTTTCATTGTAGGCATCCGTAAATCAAGCCTGCGAGATTACTCTGAATCTTCCGTCTCGGATGCCGCGATCTCCGCGGCGTAGGAAGCGGGCGCATCGGTGAAATCAACTCCGCGGCCCCCCCGTGATACGGGGGCAGGGCAGTCTTCGGGCGACGGCTCGAGTATCTACCATACAAGACTGCTGCCCTGTGCTGCGGACGCGGATGCAGGTCGAGAAGAGTCGGTGTATGTGGGTAGCTATGTTACCGAAGCCTCTCGCTTCGCCGCATCGACTCCTATGACTACTGAGGCGGACGTGGCGCCCGTTTGCGGGGGGGCGAACGACCCCTTCGATGACGATGTTTTTCCCGCGCCAGCGGTGCAAGACGAGTGGAGAGGACCTGCGTCCAAACAGCGACGACAGGCTTCTCATCTGGCGGTCACTTCACCCATGGGCTAACGATCGAAGACGAGTGGAATCCCGGACGGGATATCGCTGCCCGAGCTGAGGGCGATAGGAAGTGCGTTTCCGAGTCACCAGGCGTGGCGACCCGACCCCGCGACCGGTCTCGCGGTGAAAGCCTTGCGTGGACTTGCTTGAGAAGTCTTGTTCTTCGCATGGCTATTGGGCGCGGCCTCGCCGCCGGGCCGCCCGCTGGAATCTCATCGGCGCGCGCTGCCAGGTCCAAAGCCTCGAGCGTGCGGATTCAGGACTCACGTTGAACTTCGGTCCGCAGTGTCCGTCGACCCCTAAGAGCTGCTGACCAGTGAATCGTGGCCGCTGTTTGAAACCCGTATGGGGGTGTCATTGCATTTTTTTTTTTTGTTTTTTTTTTTTTTGGTTTTTTGTTTTGCCTTGGCTGTCTCCCGCGGCGCCCCGCAACCTCGTGGCCCTTTGAGGGCAGGCGTGGGGGGGGGCGCAGGAGTCAGGAGAAGAAGCGCATGGCGGCAATCGCACGAAGAGATGCAGAGCTAATGCAGATGATATTTCAGTTGGCACGGATGAAGCTTCAACAACGAGCTGCTGCGCGCCGTCAGGCCGACGCAGAGAGCGCCGAGATGGCGCGAGTTCTCGGGGGGGTGGGGATAGGCAGCAGGCGGCCGCCTCGGAGCAGGCGCCGCGGGCGTCGGCGGAACTGCGAGAATTGGCCCGTAGGGTCGACGCCACGGTCGCCAAGGAGAGACATCTTCTGGGCCCGGAGGAAACGTCGCCGAAGAGGCCAGGTGTCGGGCGATTGAGGAGCTTAAGACAATGGCGGCCAACAGCGCGATGGTGAAGACGGAGGCCCGCGAAGCTGTCAGGGCGGCTCAGACCGAAAGGGCTGCCGCGGAAGCGTCGGCCCTCCGGGTCGCGCGACAGCGCGCGGCGATGGCGCGCGAAGCCGAAGACCGCGTGGCCGACGCTCGACGCGGGGCAAGGGTGCTCGCCGACGCGGGTGGCTCGCGCTATGTTCGAGCAGCCGCGCGGGTGCGAGAGGCCGTGGAAATTATTCATGAAGCGTTGACCGCGGCCCGGAACGCCGAGGTGTGGGCCGGGCAATCCACGGGGGCCTGTGAAGCGCGGCGCGGGCAATTTTGCCGGGGCCAAGCTGAGCGTCGCGTTCGAAAGCGGCTGCGGCGGTATGTCGCTCGGGCGAACTTCGGGGCGGCGCGCGCCGCCACTTCTCCAGCGCTGGTGCTGCGTGGGGCGGGGCGTGGCGCCGCGCCCGCCGCGTCCTGGCGCGGACAGTGGTGCCGCCTATGTCGACCCCGCGCCAAGTGCGATCGCGCGCGTTGCGACGGGGCTTATGGCGGCCGTCACTTCGACGCCGTCGAGTGGCGATGCGTGACGTGCTGTGGCGATTTGGCCAGGGGCGAGAGGATGTAAGTTGGGGCATGAGAGCGGAGAGGCGGAGGGCAAGGGGGTCGGGCGCCAGCTCGAGGAGCGAATGGCGTCTCGGACCGCTTCTGGGGCAGGGCTTTTAGATTGCCCGTCGATGCCGGAGGTGCCTCCCAACCGTGTTGAGAGCGCCTCAGAGACGGCGGTGGCGCAGCGGTCCGGCGACGAGGCCACGGCGGGACTCGAGGCCGTCGAGGGCGACGCGCAAGCAGGGCGCCAGCGACTCGCTGGAATAGTCACGGGGGCAATGGGGGGGCCGGGGGCCGCGCCGAACAGCGGGCCCAAAAGGAGGGCAAGGGTAAGCTGCCGGTCCTCCGTGCTGAGAGGCCGTCGGAAGCCGGGGCCGCCCAGGAACTTCGGGTCCAGGAGAAGACAGATCAACGAAAAACGCGTAGCAGAAAGCGCAGCGTGCGAATGCCGTTCCCGCTGCCTCCTTTCCTGGATCCTGGCCCCAGGGAGCTGGGCGGCGAAGGCGGGGGCGATGGTGGCGTCTGCCGGGGGGGGGGGCGACGAATGACCCGCAACCCGCGAACGGCCGATCAAGCGATCTTGTGGATCGGATCCACCAGGGGGCGGAGACGGTTCAGATGGGGATGGCGATGATGCAATGATTCGTCGGATTATGGCTCGGCGGCCGGTCGTTGGGGCCCTCGGGCGAGGGAGATGGGGGCGATGGAGAGGAGCGCCGGGGTCGGTGCAAGGGGCCGCCGAGTGGGCCTTCTGACGGTGACGGGGATGACTTCGCGCCCGGAGGGGCGCTCGGCCCAGCGGCCTAGTGGAGCGACGCCGGCAAGACGGATGAAATGTCCATCGACCCAATGCCCGATCCTTCTGGCGACCGAAAACCGAGCAGGGGCGTCATCAGACGCGTCGCAGCTCGCGCCCCTTGTTGCGGGGCCGCCGCGGCGTGGGTCTCAGATGTGTTTGACCTTAAGAAAGTAAATGAGGCTCTTCAGGGCTCGGGGCTCTCCGGGCGCCTCGACCCGATAGTTTCGCCGGATCGCGCGGGCCAGACCAATCGGTCGCAAGAGGCCCGAAATATTGGCCGGGGCTTCGGCGCCTGGCACGCGATATTGATGCATGCGACGTTGCCATGCTGAAGAAGGCAAAGATGTTGAAGTGGGCGGTCGATCCTACGCGTGGTTACCGTGCGTGTGACTGCCCGGGGGGATCGCGGTCACGCGTGCGTGCCGTGACCCGATGGAGATCGCGATCCGCGGTTCGGACGGGGACTCGGGCGCCGACCTCTTTTCGCTATTGTGACGAGTGGGTGAACATTGTGAAAGGCGTGGATAGGCTCCATGAACTTTCGCCCGTCATTCAGGATTGCCGGGAGATGATGAATTGCCTTTGCGTGGCGTGGGCCCTGGCGACGCATGATCGCATCGACGACCCCTGCGGCAAGGGCGCAGTCATTCGAGTGGTCGTTGGGGCAACTCCGCTGGCGCGCGCTCGCCGACTGGCGCCCGCGACCGAGCCGCGCAGCAGAGGCAGCTCAACGCCCGGGGCCTCCTGGGCGGCGGCGGTGGCGGCGGCGGCGGGAAGGGCTCCTCGCGCATGGGGGGCGGCCGCTTCAAG